GGTGAAAAAGTGAATCTCCGGTCCATGAAAAACAAGGTATTGCTGGAGGCCAGAGTTCTTGTACTCAAACAGAAAATTCTATACGCTGAATTTGGAGGCTTTTCTCTGCACACACTATCTTTCCTCTAGCATTGCACCATGAACCAATTCTAGCTTCCCACACTCTAGATCAAGACTGTGACCACATGAAGTTTTGGGGAGACATCTAGACCCAAACCATAACAGATGGTAATGGAAGCTTCAGAGTGGGCCTAGTTGGAGAAAGCAGAACAGTAGGTACATGCCCTTGCAGAATATATGTTTTCTCAGACTCTTCCTTACCCTATTTGCTTCCTGGCTGCCATGGGGGGAGCAGCTTTCCTCAGGCATGTCATTCCATCACGATGTTTCTGCCTTGGAACCAACCAAACATGGGCTGAAACCTCTGAAACCGTGAGTCAACATTAACCATTCCTCAGGTATTTAGTCACAGTGATGAAGAGCTGACTAACATAGGTATACACCACATTTTGTTCATCTGTTGATAGACATTTGGGTTGTTTCCACCTTTCAGCTATTGAGAATAAATGCTGCTATGAGCAATGGGTATACAAATGTCTGTTGCATTTCCTGTTTTCTATTCATGTTAGTGTAAACCTAGAAGTGAAATTGCTAGATCATACGGTAGCTCTATTTTTAATTTTTCAAGGAACCACACTGCTCCTTGCCATAGCGGCTGCACCATTTTACATTCTCACCAGAAGTCTTTCTTAGGATGCAGAGGATGAACTTGGAACTACATCCCTCAAAATCTCCTTCTGTCTGTGGGCCTGCGTTAGAGTCAGTCCATGCGAGAAGAGGAAAGGTCCTTATTTTTCACTGCAGCTGCTGACAGAAGCTTGTGCATACATGAGGCTTAAAGCAGCTTCTGTCTGACCTTCCTTGCCCTCTCTGCTTCACATGCATTGGTATTGCAGGCTGGGGTAATTAGAGGAGCTTCCCACTTGTAGCCACTTAGAGGCAAGCTTTTGAGAATCAGTCCTTCAGTACTGTAAGCCACAGAGGTCATTTTCTCCATCCCTTCCAATAGTTTTATAAAAATGTGTTTTTCTGAATTAAAGCTTTTTTCTTAACATGGAGAACCTTCTGTTTTTCTGACTGAACCTACGTTAATGCAAAGAGTAAATGCAAGATATGCTTACTTATGCTTGCTTATTTCATGACATCTTATAGTTTTAATTTAATGTGCTTGAGCTTGTGGAGGTATGTGTGTATGTTACATGCATGTATGAAATTAGTTTTTACAAATAAAAATTGATCAAATATTGGCAATTTCATATGCTTCTACTTAAAATACATTTATGCACAGTTTAATCTTTCTAATTTGCTTTTATATTCCTAGGGCATAGGCCACACTTATGACAGGAGAACTATATATAATAGAAATGTTATATAATTTAAAAAAGATACAAACACATTTATTATATGGTTGAAATATATGGTGAATGCTTAAATTTTAAGCATTTATTGCAGTAAAGATACATAGCTATTAATCCCCTTCAAAATACTCCCCCTTGCTTTGGACGTTTACCTCATCATTTTTGCCACTTTCTGAAGCTGTTCTGGAAGTTATCTTCTGTGATTGTCTTTACTTGCACTGTTGTGGCTGATTTGGTGTGCTGAACGGATTAAAAATGTTTACTTTTCATCGTTGTTATGACCTTGGGGAAGAGTCCCAAGTTACACAGAGCCACAGCCAGTGAATAACGTAGAGGAGGACACACCAGAACGTCTTTGTAAGCCCATCTTTCCGTTGCACGCCGCTTGGCAGCAACATTTCCTGCATTTTTAATCACACCTCAGAGAGGCACTCATGAAGAGGGCTTCCAGAATTCTTTCATAAAGTGGCAAAAATAATGAAATAAGCGTGTTCAAAGCAAGGGGGGAGTATTTGATGGGGGATTAATGGAAATGTGTCTTTTACTGTGAAACTCTGGCTTCCAGAATTCTTTCATAAAGTGGCAAAAATAATGAAATAAGCGTGTTCAAAGCAAGGGGGAGTATTTGATGGGGGATTAATGGAAATGTGTCTTTTACTGTGAAACTGTTTTAGTTTATTCATCTTCCATGTACATCACACCTCGTTCATAAAACTATAGAGAGAGAGCTATTTAAAGAAAGAATATAGTTCTATATAGAAAGACATAGATAGATATATGGATATAGATATAGGAACTACTTTGAAAGAGGTGTTAGAAACCATTAGGAACTAATATATTAGACCAAAGCGAAATGAAAAGATAGATGTGGTGGTGTGCACCTGTAATCCCAGCACTCTGGGAGGCTGAGTGAGGCAAGTGTGAACCCAGCCCGAGCAATGTAGTGACTTAGCAAGATACTGTCTCAAAATAAAAATAAAAAAGCGCCAGAGATATAGCTCAGTGTGAAGGCCTTGGGTTAAATTCCTAATAGTTCCAGAAAAAGAAATTTGAAAAGTGGGAAAGAAGAGATCAAAGTTAAAACATTCTATTATCTTTGCATTATCTATCAGGAAGAAGGGAATATTGATTACTTTTAGACTTGTTAGGTAAGGTGAAAAATATTAAAATTTTAAGAGTAACCCATTAAAAGAATAGAGAGGATGGATAACTTTCAAACTAGTATATGGGGAAAAGAGACTAAAGAGCATCGAATTTACTTCTAGAAGAGATTGATTATGTGCATTAGCCTCTGCTGTTTCCTGAAATCTCAATAAAATGCATTAAAGTGCACTTTTTAAAAAAATGCATATATCGACAAGGAGAATAGAAAAGGAGACAAAAGTAACATTTTGGAAGCTGAAAACTTCCAAATGGTCAAATGATAGTAACAGGACACAACTGAAAAGATAAATTTTGAAACAGCAAAGGAAAAAGCCAAACATCTGCTGACTGACTTGCACACCCAAAGGCCCCCAAAGCTCAGCAACAGCAGCAACAAATTCTACTCAAAGCATGGGTGACACTGGAACTAAAAATGGATTGGTTGCAAGTGTGTTTATTTTACTTATTTCTTTTTTCTTCTTTTGTTTTTTTTTTGAGACAGGGTCTCACTATATAGTGAGACTGACCTGGAACTCACTACGTAGCTCAGGCTGGTCTTGAACTCACAGCAACCCTCCTGCCTCAGCCTGCCGAGTGCTGGGATTACAGGTGTGCACCACCATGCCCGGCCACGAGTGTGTTTATGAAGCTGCTGTCCTCTTTGCTCAGTGGGGTCACTGTGTCTTCCCCCAAGCAACAGAAAACCAGAGGTATAGTCTCTGGAAAAGGTGAAAGAGTGAATCTCCAGTTTATGAAAAACAAGGTATTGCTGGAGGCCAGAGTTCTTGTACTCAAAAACAAAATTCTATACGCCGAATGTGGGGACTTTTCTCTGCACACACTATCTTTCCTCTCATCCAAAATGTTGGCCAGTTAGATTTTGCCTACTGTGATGTTAATCTTGTTTGTCAGTCCATTGGTTTAAGAGGCATCCAGCTGATTAGTCAAACTTGCTTCTGGATGGATCGTGGGGGTGCATGACCCTGAGGACTAAATCTGGTCCCTGGCCTCTTCCTTTGGCTTTTTGCCTTTCTCTGCTTCCTCATTAGCATGAGATGAACAACTTTCTTCCCAAATGCCTTTCTACCATGATGTTTCTCCCTTACAATTGGTATAAAAGCAATGATGCCAGCCAACCATTGACTGAAACCTCTGACACCATGAGCCAAAATAAAACTTTTCTACTTAAATTGTTTGTCAAGTACTGTGATTCAGTGACAGAAAGCTAATACAACCTCGGAGACAGAGGTTGAAAGAAACTTCTCCCTGAGAAATTTGACTATTCTAAGAACATTACCTAAAGAAACAAACTTCTGAGTGTTCTGCAATCCAGATAGTCCCTCCCAAAATGATCCAGGGACTGCAGACTATACATCAGCTTCTCTTTTCTTCTACACTAGTATGAAAAGTTTCCAAAATATAGAAAAGCTAAAGCCTGGAGTGGTGGCACACACCTGTAATTCCAGCACTCAGGAGGCTGAGGCAGGAGGATCGCTGTGAGTTCGAGACCAGCCAGGGCTACATAGTGAGTTCCAGGTCAGTCTCAACTACATAGTGAAACCCTGTCTCAAACAAACAAACAAATATACATATACATACATACACATACACATACACATATACATATATATAAAAGCTAAAGGGCCAGGATTTAGCTCAGTGGTGCAGCCACCTGCCTCACAAATGCAAGGTCCCAGGTTTGATCTCTGGTACAAAAAAAGAAAAAGAAAACAAAAACTGAAAGAACAGTGCAGTGATCACTGTTATACTCACCACCCAGGTCTGTGATTGTTAATATTAGGCCATATACTCTCTCTATATATAAATATTTTATATGTATGCCCAACCATTTGGAAATTGTGTACAGCACTCTGTTACCTGCACATAACTTCAATATTTGCATCCTAAAAAGTAAGGACAATCTTTTACAAAACCACAATGCCATTATCATGACTAAGAATATTAGCAATTTCATAGCATCAAATATATACTCTAGGGTCGGGGATTTAGCTCAGTGGTTCCACCGCCTGCCTGGCAAGCAGGAAGACCTGAGTTTGATCTGCGGTACCAAAAAAAAAAAGAAAAAATATATATAGTCTATGCTCAACTTACTCCATTTACTTTAAACTTTCTAGTGTTCTAAAATTAAAATTACTAATGCATGTTAATTGTACAAATTAATATGTTTCTCTGTGAAATTTCCATACATGTATATCATGCCCTGATCCTGTCTATCCTCCTTGTATCTTCTCTTGCTCTCTCCTCCCTTTCCCTCTTTCCTATTTGTCTTCTACTTTCAGGTATGTTTGTTTTGTTTCCATACATAAGAAAAAAAACCACACTATACTGTCTTTCTGCATCTGGCTTATTTTGCTTAACATGATATCCTAGAATTCCATCTGTTTTCTTGGAAAGACATGATTTCATTCTTCTTTCTAGAAGACTATGGAAAATTTCACAAATTTCTGTGTCATCTTTACACAGAAGCTTTACTAATCTTCATTATATCACTCCAATTTCAGTGTATGTTCTGTGAAAGAGAACATTCTGTTAGCTTTTCATTTGTTTTGTGTCTTGTTTATTGTAGTGCTGGGGGTCAAATCCAGAAACTCACACATCCTAGGTAAGTGTTCTACCACTGAACCACATCCCCAGCCCTTGCTCTTTTAAAAATTATGACCCAATTAAAGTTTGTGCATCAGAGTTGGTTGCTAAACACCACTACAAAGTGTTCCTACTTTCTTTTTTAATAACATTAACTTTTGGAAAAAGACCAAGCCAGTTGTCTTGTAGAATGTTCCATATTATGAATTTGTCTGACTCTTTCTTTGTAATGTCATTTGCCTTACTTCTCTATCTACTGTTTCTCCTTGTTGTGGTTCAGATGGATAATGTTCCCTAAACATAGCTCATGTGCTCAGAGGTGGGCTTATGGAAGGTGACCAGATCTTGGGGTGATAATGTCATCAATGGATTAATCCACAAATGAGCTCATAGCTGAATATGCTGTTAGGAGGTGAGGTTGAAGGAAAGAGGTCATTGGAAGCATAAACTGGAAGGCTGTATTCTTGTCTTAAGCCTCTTCCTCCCTCTCTGCCTCTTCATGTTCTCTCTGCTTCTGGCTGCCACAAGGTAAGTGCTCTCCTCTGCCTTATCCTTCCACCATGATGTCTGTCCCCTGGAGCCAACTGACAATGAACTGAAACTATAATCCAAAACTAATCCATCCTTCCCTGTAAAGTATACGGCAGGCATTTTGTCTCACAGTAGAAAGCTTATTAATACAGCCATAAACTGTAGCCCAGGTCTAGTGATTCCACTGTGTTCAAGTTGTGTTTAAAGTATTTCTGGCAAGGCTATGTTGAAAGTGAAATGGAAACTTCACATTACATCTCATCAGGAGGCACGCAGGGGCTGCCGTACCTGCTCTTAGGGATCCTACATTTTACCATTTGGTAAAGCAATCACTATCAGATCTCTTGAGTGACAAGATATGTCTTTTCTCTTTGTCATTTGTCAGCAACAGTATCATGATCCCTTCATACCCTAAGATACCTTGGCAATCTAGTAAATTAGAATATGAAAAGGTATTCTCACAGAAGCCTCACTTACATTCCTATCCCTCTTGTTCTCTTGGTCCTAGCAGCACACAGGTGACTACTTCTATTTGTTTCTAGTTGAATTTAGCCTTCTAGGAATTTTTTTTTTTTTTTGGTGCCGGGGATCGAACTTGGGACCTTGCGCTTACAAGGCAGTCAGTGGCACCACTGAGCTAAATCACTGGCCCTTCTAAGAATTCCTTATCCAAAAGTAAATACATATGAATATATGTTTCCTTTCTTTGCATATACAAAAGATCACATAATATATATGATTTCTACATTTTCATTTTTTAAATTTATTTATTTATTTTTACTGGGGATTGAATTGAGGATCTTTGCACTGAGCAACAACTGCAGTTTTTGTTTTTTGCCTTTTTTTTTTTTTTTGAGACAAATTCTCATTAAATCACCAAGTTGCCCAGATGAGGCTCAAACTTGTGATCCTCCTGTTTAGCTTCCCAGAGTGTTGGGATTACAGACTTGTGCCACCACATTCCACTACATTTTCTTTTTCTTTTCATTTAAAACAGTATTTTGGTGATCACTGTATATCTGCTAAGAGAAATTTGTAGCCACCTGATATTCAGTTGTATGAATGCAGAATAGTTTATCCAGCCATTGTTTTTAGTGGTGGACATTGCACTGTTTTCAATCATTTGCTATACACATGGATTAGTCAGCTTTTTGTTACTGTGACAAAATATGCAAGAAAATCAACTTTAAAGGAAAAAAGGTTTTTTGGCTTATGGTCGCAGAGATTTCAGGTCATAGTCAGTTGGCCCTGTTGGTTTGGGCCAGTGGCAGAACAGTATATCATGGAAGGAGCGAATGGCAGAGAAAGCCTATCTACATGATGGCAACCAAGAAGCAAAAGAGAAAGAGGCTGGGGTGCCACATTCCCTTCCAGATCACACTGCTAATGACCAAATATCCTTCAACAAGGCTCCACCTCCTAAAGGTTCCACCACCTCCCAGCAGCACCACAGGATGGGGACCAAGCCTTGGCACATGGGCCTTAGAGGGATATTTCTGATGCCAAATGAAACAGCAAATGTGGAACAAAATAAAGAAGCATCTTTACAGGTAGAAAAAAAAATTAAAGTAAAAGCAAACTCCAAGTAAACATAGGGGAAATATAAGAACAGATATTATAACTATGAAGCAAGAAGGGAATGCTCTGTTAAAATGACAAAAGGTAGCCAGGCATGGTGGTGCACACCTATAATCCCAGCACTCAGGAGGCTGAGGCAGGAGAATCACTGTGACCAGCCTGGGCTACATAGTGAGTTCCAGGTCCCTGTCTCAAAAAAAAAAAAAGACAAAAGACAAAAGGGATGATGAGGGAAAAAGGAATGTTTTGAAATTAAAAGGTATGGGAGCAGAAATAAAACCCCTCAAAACAGGAAATTCAGTAAGAAGGCCTAAAACATAAAGTTGGAAAATAGAAGTGAAAAATGTAAAAGTTAGAGGAAAAAAAGTCTAAAATAAAAAGGGGGTGAGATTATTTTCTTGGAAGTGAAGGAAGTATATTTCTAGATGGAAAGGGCCCAGGTAGTACTTCGGTGCCTAGCTCAGAGCATGGAAATAGACCCGCCACAAAGCACAGCATCACGCTTTGTGAGGACCTCGGGTCTGAAGACCTTCTAGACAGAATAGAGATGGCAGCAGTGGCAAAAAATGGTCACACCTTCAGACTTCTCAACAGCAACACCAGAGGCTCAAGTCAGCATGAGCAGCGCTTTCCAGAATATGAGAGAAATTTTATTTTTAACATAAAATGCCATGCCACATTACCCATTAAGAGTGAGAATAAAGACATTTTCAAAAATTCAAGACCTCCTACCATCCTTGGTCAGGAAAAGTGCAGGATTGCTCCACCAGAGTAAGGACTAGCCATGACAGAGGGTTTTCTGGGATCCAGAGACCCAGACAATCAGCAGGTGAGATCTGGCTGCCTCTCACACAGCAAATCCCACCATGCAGTTTCATTCATTGGCCCCTCTTGGGAATGTCTGTAACACTGAGGAACCGAGTCTGGGAGAAAAACCTAGGAAACAAGCATTTGTGTTGAAAGGTGCAATAGGTTGGCCCCATGCGAAGTATCTCAGTCAATGACTGGGTTGGTTTCACTAAGCTTTCTTCAGTGCATCAGGCAATGATATTCCACATATTTGGCAAGATTTAGCTGTTTCATCTCCCAGGCTGGACTTGATTTTCCCCTCTTGCTTCTCTGTATTTCAGATTTAAGCAATTGTGTATAATCCCAATTATATATATATATATATATG